TGACATTTACAAAAACTGAGATTTAAAGTTATAACCTTTCATGCTTCATTACATTCCAGAATCTGGCATAAAGGGCTTAATGTAGCATCCACACACACTGTTGCATGTTTCATCCAAACATCTTTGTTGGAGAATCAATGTTCTGTCTCTAAAACACTGAGACTTGTGGCAAAGATGAATTATTTCAGTTGGCAAATTGATGTTTTAAACTCTGGTCTTTAAGGACACTGGGAGTGGGGGTGCTCAAGGGGCTGCAGCAGCCTCTATTGGTGAATGGCTGTAACTGCAGTTAAATTTAATTTCAAAATTTTATTGCAAAACATCACATATTGAACATTATGTGGATCGTAAATGCAGAATGATGTCAACTGAAAACCCTTGATTTTTTAAATGTTCTAAAACAGGTATAAAATGTTGTTGGCCATTCAGATTAATAATCCATTTAATATGACAGCATTATTTATCTCAGCACCCCTAAATCTGAATGACTTCCAGCGTCTTCGGGCTGCACAATAAAATTAATTATTATCAAGTGTCTGTGTGCCAGGGAGAATAACGGAGATACTTTATGAAATGGCCCCACGTGGCTGTCAAACAGTGATTTGAGGTTTGCTGTCGGTCTAGTGTGCACAGTCACATGTGTAATTGGCTCCTCATGCTCCCCACTGTTGTGTTGTTTTTAAAGATTCCAATGCCATGGGTCTATCTGGTGGGGGTGAAACCAGAGAAACAGCATCAGATTATTTCAATTATGTATTCACATCATACTGACGGACGTTATGATATCAAAAATATCTGTTCTCCAATCATGGAGCTGTTACAAAGCCTGCTGCCCAATAAGGGATCATTTAGGTTGTTTTGTTTTTGTACTGCATGATTATCCCATTTTTTTTATTTCTGAAAACAATGAAAACTGCCCGTTCTTGCTCGGCCAAATGTAAGCCACAACTCTCCATCTACTAGTGTCTTGTGTTGTAGTGACTGTGGGGAAAAGGGTGCATGTTATTGGATCATAATGGAGTGTTAACTTAGGGGAAGATGGTTTGATTCTCCAAAGATGCACACAGATGGAGAAAAGAAACCCTGAACCGAAGCAAAACTCCTCAATGACAGGACATCAAAGCCCTAAAGTGCAACTGGGAACAATTTTTGAGCCGTCATGGCCGCCGCACTCTGAACATTAGGGCCTCTCTGCTCCACTGTGGCTTCAACCTTCTTCTCCAGACAGAAAAGTGCTCCGACTGAAGAGATTTTAATCTCACAGCTCCCCCTGAGGCGAGGAACTGCTACAGTGATGGACTACGCTGCTGAATGAGTGAATCATCTGTCGTTTTCTATTCTTTGTGATGCGACACACTGTACAGGTCATATTAATAATCAGCATTATTATGATGAATCAGTAACCTCTTGATTATACGGTAGAGAAGAGACGCTTATCTCCAGTGGATGTACCAAATGTTACTCAGCACAAACACAATGACACTATGTACAAAGTGCATTGTAGATGTAAATTGGCAAGGTTTCATTATCCAAAAGCACACTTTATTATTATATGGGCACATAACTATGCATGTAACATAATCAGGGCATTTTGTGCTTTTAGTTTCTCAATCAGCCAAATGACCACTGGCACTCAAACACTCAAGCACCTGCTATCTGTTCATGGGTACCAAATAATAAAAGCTCTGGACCTGTCTGTCTGTGTGCTACTGATCTCACTGGTGTTTCCATCTGCTTCAGTGTGAAACAATGGGATATAAATGTGTCTTCTCTCTTTCACTAATGAGCACTCAACAAGTACAGCTAAGGCTGGTGGTAAGTATACAGAAAAATATTAATTGTGGCCTGATGATGGCACTAAAGATAAAGACAAAGGGTTGCCATAGTGATTTGGATTTAACTCCAGGGAAACTTTCTTGGGCCATAGACCTAATAGTTATATAGCAAGGCATCGATAGTTGATGAAATATTTTCATCCAGATAAAAGAGTTGGACCATCTGACAGAATGATACTGCCCCCTGCTGAGCCTGTTGCTCATCTTGAAGCAAACAAAATAGTATTGCACGGATTGATGCTGCGTTACATCTTCTGTGGTCCTGGAGGAACTTCAGGGTTATTGTGGTTATTTTAAACTACAAATTTGTAACAGCAGTTTGAAAGATGTGGATATTTACCAGGTATGGGTGGAGGTTCTGATGAAAAGGTGATATAAAGATACAATATAGTAAATAGAGAATAGAACATTTTGGATGTTTCGACCCATATAAAAATATAGAGATATAAAGATGGATGGAAGCTGCCTAAAAATTAAGCCAAAATGTTTGGCTCGCCCTCTGGTGGCTGACTGCAGTATAGGTCACAACTGCGTCGATGTTGGATGGGACATGGAGCAAATTAAAAAGTCAAAGATGGTGTCATATCTTGAAGTGTTCGATCATGTTCTACTAAGTTTGTTTTTATATGTGTATTTGATGCTAAAGAAACAAGTTCAAACGTCATGATTGACAGCTGAATCTGACTTACGATTGGTTGAGCATGTATCTGCAGAACCTTGCTACTATCCAGGATATGTTGGATGCATTTCTGGTTAGTTTGTTGGAAATGAACACGTTAACCAACTTTATGTACAGTCTGGGTAATTTGACCGCTGTGGCCTCAATTTTGACGATTATTATTATTACTATTAATATTATTTTGAAATTATGTGTCCCTTATGGAAGAGCAATGCGGAAAACCTGGACTAGCCCTCTAAAGTTTTTAAAAAACCCAATGCTGCCCAGTGGATGGAGGGATGAAAAAGTATGTGGGGAGTATTAAAAGAGAAGAAAACTTATTTCTAAGATTCCAAACCTTCCTGCAGTTGCCAACAATAAAAAATCCCTCTCTGCAGACTCTGATTCGACTTCTACAGACTTACTTCTCTGTACCTTCCAATCAATAAAAACTCCCTGTAGTGGAGATTTTTTTGTCATCTCATTCCTATTTTAAGAGTCCTGAGCAACCTCCGCTCACAAAACCTCAAGTGGTGTTTTTTCCTGTCTGCTCAGAGCCTGAGGGTCACTCCAACCTATTGATCCGGTCTGGGATTCTTCTGCTCATCAGCTGCCTTCTCAAGACGACCTCATGACCTTTTGTCAGAAAAACACCACTGAGCACCATTGTTCATTCTCTATTTTTTTCTTTATTTTTCTCAGAACAATAAAAATAGTTTAACAAACGAAGACTTCTTCATTCTCTCCAGTTCGCCTTGTATTTATAGCTGAAGATGAGACAAATGCCCAGTCATGTCCATTTCATCTCCTCTTGGCTCCGTTCCCACCCCGATCCTCCCTCTCCGCCCCTGGCAGGGTTGACAGGGGAGCACCGGGACCTATTGCTGTGTCTTTTGACGAGGTATACAGGCTATTCAATGATTGGTGACACGTTATTTGAAACGGACATCGCTTACGTTTGCATTTCAGAGCTTCTCCTCTTTGTTCAGAACTGCACCACACGAGGCCTGTTTGTACAACATTGAGCAAGTTATGACTGATGACACATCATGCTTTTCACTTACTGGCGTGACTTTAGAGGATAGAAGACACAGTTGTAACTGTAGAAACGCCATGTAACCGACACAAGAGACGAAGACGAGACAGGTCTCAGATCCTCTGTTTGTCCAGAGGAGATAAAACTGCGATGTGGAAAGATGAAGACGAGACAACTGACAGGTCTCAGATCCTCTGGTTGTCCAGAGGAGATAAAACTGCGATGTGGAGGGTCCCTGAGGGAAGTGAAGAACGTTGGTTTGAATGCACAAGAAAGTCAAAAACAAACACATAGGATTAATGGTTAGCTTCAAAAACGGAGCAGCTATCATTACATTGCAGTGATACTGAATAATTACATGGAAGGATGTGGACCTCTTATGCAGCATGTGCAACCTATAGAACTAAAAGGCTTTTTTTACAGTACTTAAAGCACCTTCTAAATGTCAAAGCAAATGGGCCCTCGAAAAAGCATTCAACAGAGATGTCACATAACTGGGTTTATACAGTTTTCACTTCTCAGTAAGTACGTAGATCTGAGGAGTTTATTTATCTGTAGCAACTATATTGTTTTTTAATTGCATCTGAGATGAATCTCACTCTCGGCAAAATCTACTGAGGCTGTAGATTTTAGGCAAAAAGTGGATGGCGAGCGTGACACCGGGTAAATTCAGCACAGAGACAGAGAGGTGAAGCTTGTTATTCTTTTTCCTATAGCACGAGACTGCGGCGTCCCGGATCCCTCCTGGTAGTTGATTATAATGGGATCCTTGTGTGGCGTTACTGTCCCTCCTTGCCAACTGAATACAATCACATGAATCAGGGCTGAATGGCTGAACAATCAACAGCAGAGGAAATGAAAGATGCCTGAGTAGTTGTGGCTATTGTGCACCTGATCAGGACAGAGGTATCAATACAGTCTGAACAAACCCAAGAAGTCATTCTAATCAAACTTGAAAGAGTTCAAAACATAGAAATATTATACAACAGAGAAAAGATGAAAAAAAGAGCTCAATTACTGCGACCCAATAGAGAGGAGAGAGGCAGAAGAGATATAGCAAAACAGACAGAGGGACAGAAGCAGAAAACCTTTGCGTCCATGTCAGAGTATTAATACAGTAGTCCAGAGGTCTGAATGTAATAGTGGTGGATTCGAGCACCATCTCTATGGCTGGGGGTCAGAGGGTCACTGGTCCAATCAGGTTGGAGGGTCATGGCTGTCAGAGCTGGTTTCCAGTGCAGAGCGGCGGGCTGGCACAGTGATGAGGATAATGACGTCTTAGTGTCACATCGGATCACACAGCAGACACAGTCACGGAGCAGGAGTGGGCAGACTAGGCCGTGGGGGCCCCAAATGTACCCGGTGGGCACTAAACAGTCCAAAGGCCTGGCCTTTAGTGTTCCCATAGTTCAGTGGAGCTCCAACACAGTGCAGAGAGGATAAAATGAAGCTGGATGTAGTCACAGATCAAATGTTGAGAAGGGATCAATACATATCGTCGAGGGAGCAGTTCAATTAAGCCACACGGCCTATAGAACAGGTGGACGTGTGTTTGTCCATTTCAGTCAGTTGTTTTAGGCCCAAACCAGGAGGGAGTTGAAGGCTCATTAGTTTCTGAGGGTTAAATCCTCTTCTTCACTAGTCACCCCCACCGCTGGGCCAATGTGCTGAGTGCTCCTGTACAACACACACAAGATGGGTTATACTCTCACATCATGAATTAAATTAAAAAGATAATCGAGAATAAGAATCAAGACTTAAAAAAACCCTCAAAATAACTCCTCTCCAAAGTATCAAGCACAGTTAGCAGGTACACTGTTCCTCATATGCACCAACTTAGTTAGTTTGTTAGCATGCTAACATATGCTAACAAGCACTAACCAAAAAGCGCAGCTGAGGCTAATGGGACTTTCATTATTTTTGCAGCTTGATAAAAACTTATTTTATGTATTGATGGGGCAAGAGGAAAAAACAGAGGATCACCAAAGTCTTTAGGATTCATCCTCCGGGTGTACATTTCAGTACCAAATTTCACTAAATTCCATCCAATAGTTGTATCAGTCTGGACATAGGTGGATTTCCATCTCTAGAGCTGCTCACTAAGCTGAAAAGTAAAATAATATTTGGACCAGATCCAGATAAACTGGCAGATCCAGGATCCATCTTGATGATTTTTACAACATTTTCAGAAAACTCTTGCCTTAAGCTGTAATGACACTCAATGGAGCGCATACCTCCCGTGCATAGGCCCAACCGCCACCTGAAATTCAATCAAGCTGCAGCAGATATCAGCTCCTAAAATAAGTCTGTTTTTATGTATTTTCAAGATCTATAAAAATTGGGGGGAAAAATTCCTGACTACGCATCAAACTTTAATGACCTCTTCCCTGCCCTGTAAGGTTTCTTTAAACTCTTTTACAAACACAACCTCATTGGCAGAGGTCATTAAGTGGCCAGCAGGTATATGTCTTTTTAGATGCGACTGTGATTTGTCGGATGCATTTGTCAAGTTTAAAAATATGACTATTGAATGACTTTATTTGCAAACCCAAATTTCACAAAATGCATCAGATAATAAATATATGAAGTCTGCTGTCCTCCGTTATTGTCAACATTTTGTGAACAGGTAATTCCTTGTTGATTCACAGAAAAGAAGCTGTAGCTTACCTTTCATTTTATAACTACACGGTATCTGTAAAGACTTAAGTTAATAGACTTCTTAATCCAAACACTTCCAGTGGCCTGTGGCAGTCCTTTCATTGGTTCCTTCATTTTCATACAAGTTTCATCCAAAGTTAGAGCAGAAGAGGAAGCCTTCATAGCATCAGCCACTGCTGATTCAAAAACATCTTGTAGCTCAAGTATGGGTCTGCAGCGACATTCAATCAACCCACAAACGAATATTCACGTCTTCAAAAATTTCACTTGTTCAATTTTCTGATTTCTCCAGTGTTTTTTGTTCATCATATTTATGCTTCTTCTGCTCCAGTGAGGGGGGGAAAAAACTCCAAAAATCATCTTCTGTTTTGCATGAAGGCCGAGTCACTCGTCAACAAACACTGAGTTGTTCATTGCCTTAAAAGTTAATATATATATTTATATATAAAAAAAGGGAGTTCATAAATTATTCAACAATGTTCAGTAGATAAAATACCACTTGCATTTATGTCCTGAAATTATCACTTTGTGCTTTCTGCAAACAAAAAAACATTGAAAAAGAAGCAGCAAATTTTTGCCAGAGGTTAATCCATATATAAAACAAAATATTGTCTCTTGAAATCTAAAAGGTTCGCTCTATCTGTGTCGATTGGTTATTCCGTTGCTATTTGTGGCGGGCTCCTCCAGCTCGTCGTCCTCAAAGCCGTGAAAGGTGGAAGTGTCGCTCTCTGAGGTGGTGCCGAAAAGCTCCTCAGCTCCTGTGAAGGTCCCGTCTTCCTTCTCTTCTCCGCGGGCAGCTAGGACACAAGACGGAGTCAGTGAGCAGGTGATGGACAACAAACAGCAGACAGCACCACAAAAGGCTAGAACATCTATTTCTTCCCAATGATCCATTGTGGAGATCTACTTTGGAATCAGTTAGAACACAAACAAAAAGACATTGTATATCAACTCACTTGTGCAATGGCAGGCTGAGTAGGGAGACCCAGATTTACCCATTTTCTTGCCCTGGCATTTATTACAGTAGTTGCTGGGAATGCTCGTCCCACCTGGACCCTTTGGACCTGTGGAGAATTTACAGGTAAACAAGACATGGTCAAAACCTTGTATATGGTGGGACTGTACAGGGTCAGTGTGCGAAACTGATGACTTGTTTTTTGGAACCACAATCATTCAATTAGCCTCTTCATGACAACATCGTGTTATGTTTACATTCTGCCTTGTGTCGGTCAGTTTCAGCCCTTTTATCTGTTTGCACATCGACTCAATCGGACATTACACAGACTTTGTACTGGGGAGCTGAGAGGGTAAAATCCATTTAATGTCCAGTTCAACAGATTTACATTCACACAAACAGCTGTATGTGTCTGGAAGGATGATGTTGAGAAGCTTCTCAGGTTGATTGGATGGATGGTAGAGATGGTAGGAATCCCTGTGTCATCTAAGTACATCAAGTGGGGATTAAAAACATGTACTGACAATATAAGAGTAAACATTTGATTGTGTTTAAGCACTTTGACAGCAGATTGTGGTTGATTTGCGGTATCGCCGTTTTCTTGATTTTCAACGAGATACAACTTTTTGTATCTGACATTTTTTGGTTTGGTTTCAGAAACCAATCACTGATATGATATAGGATAACAGGTTCAACAGGCAGGCTTCTTACGTTTGTGTCTTTCAGTCTGTGGTACAGAGGGTGATCTGGACGCCACCGTATTCCTCTCTCCAGCTCTGTCCTCTGCCAGGTGGGAATGGGTGTAGTGGTAACTTAGTCCTGTACGGTTCCTGTAGCGCTTTGCACAGACTGCAACAAAACAGTAGGCACATGTTCAGTCACACAATAACAGAATAAACGTAAAGTTTCTGACCACTTGTCTATAGGATGAGAGTTTTATCATAAATGGGTAAGATAAAAAGGCACCATGGCATTTGATGGAGGTGAATATTCAGCGTCTGTATTTTAGGATTTTATTGCAACAGTCAGTCAAATAAAACAAAACCCCAGACAACACAGTAACTATGTCTCAGTTTAACAGCACCAGGGCACTATAGTATGGGAAAAGTGAGCTAATATAGAGCCTGAATCAATAATCAAAGGACTGCCAACACAACCGCTCAACAATCTGTCAAAATAAATATCCTTAAAAGACGGGAGACCAAAAGTGTGAACAAATGAATGTACCTGAGGTCGAAGATTTTGAGTTCTGCTTTTGTTTGTATCTGTCTGAAACAGAAAAGACAATATGAGATTGTGTTGTTCAAGATCAGTTTTATCAGCTGATATAAAATCCAAAACCCCTCAACTGGATTTTCCACATGCAACTTGCATGAACAGGAATAGTTCATGAGTGAGACTATAGTAACACTAGTTCTGCCTTTAACCAGTGGTTTCAACTGTAAAAACTGTGTTTGTGTGATTTTTCACAAAGATCACCCTGGCGGTCGTTGAAGAGTAACTTCCAGATTTTTTAATTGTATTGGATTTGGCTGCAACGCTGTTTAGCCCTGAAACTCCAAAAGTATTTTGTCGACTCAAACGTTTCAACCACCCCTCCATCGGCATAGTGGTGAGTAGATAGTGAGTAGATATCCCTTTAAAATAAAAAAGTTTCAGGTAGTGTCAGAGAAATGAGAGTATCCAGACGCTGCATCGTATTGAAAAAATCCCCAACTGTGCAGATATATCAGAAAAAAAAAAAAAAAAAAAAAAAAACGAGACA